TGGACAGGTTTGGGTTTTGCCGACGATGGAGGAGGTTCAGCAGGAACTCATTGAGAGGAGGAGGCAGAAGTTGCTGGATCAGTTGTAGGAATGGTGTTGGGAGATGCCGGACATTTGGGGAAACGTGATGACAATCTTGGCCATGGTGGGTTGTGCACAGCGACGGGCTGAGGGAATATGGCAGAGGCATTCATTACCCTACGAGTTGCTGTGATTTTGCAGCCTTCGTGCCGTTGTGCTGGGACGGTGACGATTTATCCGTCGTCGTCGCACAGCCGGTCCGGGCTGAACATGTCGCGATATTTAGCATGCGTTATCCGTGATGAGGCAGTATCTGGAGTTACGGGGCTGTTTTCTAGGCGTTAGCATTTAGGATTGATCTCGGGCTTAAACTGGGTGGCTTAACGGCGTACATGAAGGATCCGGAGATGAATGGGTCAATTCTAGAAATCATCGAGTGAAATGCTCCGTGAGAAAATGGGGACCCTCGATCAAGTCCCCGGTTTGTTTATAGCCGGACGACCAGGGTCTTGTTTAGTGCGATGGCTTGAGAGGCAGCATTGAGCGTCCATCTAAGGCAATACAACGCCGACTGCAACGTCGTAATATCATTGATCCTTGATTAGCCAGACGTGGTCCTCGCGCCTAGCAGGATGCAGCAGCCCGGGTAGTGGCCATGCTCAAGACGATGAACGGGCTGACTATTTGTGAGCCTCTTATAGGACAGATTGGTGAATTATTATATGCTACTCCGTACTCCGTACAGCAAAGTTGACAATGAGACACCGCGAGCGAAACATGTAGATATGCCAAGCTGCAGACGGCCTTTGCTAGCTTCAGGGGTCGCAACCAATGGGCACAGACCGGCCCAATCGTTTGAGGGATGATAACGTCGTCGTCGACCAATCGAAGGCTGGAGGGACTCGGCCTGCTTGGACCCCAGGCTCGAGCTAGCGAGAAATAGCCTTTAAAATGACTTCGGGAACTTTGGGCGCCACGGCCTGGCCAGTACAGACAGAGTACCGAGGACCTGGATTGGCAACATTGAACGCCACACATTTGTCAAATATCGGAAATGAGGAATATTGTCGATGATTGCCTCAAGCGAAACCGTCGTGTGGCGGGCGTGTATCGACACCACACGGGAAGAAGAGAGCCATTTCCTCCTGGGCGACTCGACAAACCCGCGTTGTAGATGACGATAAGAATTCATCCGAGCGAGGATGCTTCAGGAGGGGTCCGTCCGGGGCGGCTAGGATTCAGGTGAACGATCAAATTGATTGCACTTGGACGGTGTTGGACCCATGGACGAACCCCTGAGGGAATACGGACAGGAGCATGAAGTCTGGCCAACCTTGAACCAGCTCGGCTCCGCTTATGTCTCACCACCCAACCCTTAGCTGGGCCACCGGGCTGGAACGCTCTCGGGACATTGCAATCAGAGTAGGCCAATGTGGTCTAGAGCCGTCGTCGGCTTCCATATGGTATGCAGGCATCGAGACAGGGCTGTGATGAAGGGCCAAGAGCGAAGCGCAAATGACGAGCGGCAGTGAATAGTTTGTTGGTTCTCGAAAAAAACGGATGCCGGGGACAGATGGGCCTAACCAACGCGCCGTTTTAGCTTCCTCTCGACTCGAACTTCCCATCGTCACCTTCAACCTCGTGTCCAACGCAGGAAAAGAGGGCCTCGTCGCCACTCGTATCAGGTCTACTCTACTATGATTGCGCTTGTCGTCTGACCGAAGCCCTTCTGTCCACTCTTTTGTTATTTCTTGTCGTTATTTTATATTTTTAATTCCAGCACTCGCCGGTGCATCAGCAACTGCTTTCGCGCGCCAGCCGTGTGTCTTTTCTGTCTCGCCCCAAGAATTCTGCACCAGACCGTTGCATACCCGCCACAGTCTTCGAGCAGGAAACAATCTTCGGGCTCGTACAGTGAACGGCGCAGTCATTACGACAATCATGCTCGGACAAGACCTCCAACCTCATCAGAGCCACCAGACTCCTTATTAATGCGCTCACGCGCTGCCACCACTCGATATAATTAATAGCCGCTCTCTACGAACAGTGGCGAATCGCCATTCCTTCTCAAATAATTCACCTTGCCTTTAATATGTGAGCTGCGACGACGGCCAACGCTGGAAACCGGTACTAATGCCCTCGCAGTCTAATTGTAATACGCTTCACCAGACCTCAAAATGGTGTCATTCTTTGGATTGAAGCTTGGAAGTGATAGGAAAAAGGCGCAGTACGTTGAATGAGGCTCCGAGTGGACGACGACTCCTAACCCTTGCTGTATTAGAAGCAAACAAGCCCAAGGTAAAGCACCGCCGAAATGGAATCGCTTTGATCGGAACGCCCCTGGCGAGGGTCAATACTTGGAGAAGGACCTCTCGCCACCGCAATTCCCATCCTCAACTTCAAGACCCGGCACCGCAAATTCGACTCGAAGCATGTCCAATTGGCGAGCTGTATTCAAAAATCCGGCAATGACTTCGTCCTTGATCGACCTGGCACCGCCTAAACGACCGCCTAGTACGGGGAGCTTGCGCCATGCTGCCTCACATGTGAACCTTCGACCAGGCATGGCTTTGCCGACTGCCTTGGGGGGCAATGGACTTCGACCCGGAACACCTAGTAGACCATCAGGAGCCAAAAAGGCAGGCTGGGTGAATCCCTTGGATGTTCACTTTTGCAAGAACCCCGCCAATACCCATCCAGCCACGCCCCTAGGACGCAATCCTGTTGTGACGGGCCCCGTTGCTCTAGGTTCTCCGAATAATCCAACGGGCCAGTTTGATTTCGGGCAACATACCGATGGACAGGAAACTAGCAAGAATACCAACAAACATGTTCCATCGGCTACGGCGCACAGTCGCAAGTCGGATGAAGAATTTGTAACATCAAACCAGTATCCGTCACCGCCGCCGTCAGACACCGGTTCTGAGGGGGGACTCTCACCCGTGAAGGTGCCCGCCCTCGACAACCATTCGCCGACCGGGAAACGAGATGCCGCCAGTTCCCCCGGGAATGTGGATGTGCCGGAGCCGACATCTCCGCCCAGTCCAATGCCACTGGTCCAACCGACAAGTCCTGACCGTTTCGGAGGCCCAATCGTTCGAAATTCGCCGGCACGGCGAGATACGTTTGCCTTTCATCAACCTCGTAGACAAAGTTTTACAAAGGAGTTTGAGGAAGTCCACAGAGCAACAATGATGCATCCGCCAAAGGAAGGATTCAGCGGCAACTTTGCAGATTTCGATTTTGGCGAAAGCGTCATCCGGACCACCGGTAACATGAGCGAGACGGAGGGAGACCCAAGCTTTGAGGCTGCAAGACGGCCGAGTACGTCGCCCGAGGCCACCAAGGAGTCGGATCGTGGACTGGCGCCAACAGCTTCAGAATCTATGCCATCTTCATCACTGAAACAGACCGAGAGAGAAGAGTCAAGGCGGCCGGCTCCCATTTATACCCCAGAAGACCAGGCCACAAACGTGATTGATCAATTACCGAGGTCTCCTAGAGAACGCGCCTTGCGGACATTGGGCCCTCCATCAGCCGCCGCTGGTGCATACAGAGCACGTAGTAATGGGACTGGTATGGGTTTTCCCCAGGGCTTCAAATCTCGTTTTGACTCGGAGAAGTGGTCGCGAGCTACGCCTCCGAGACCACTGCAGCCTGTCCTGCCCCCTTCTGCAATACATGGTGTTGACACCGCAGCCATGAGGTCTTTCGGCCCGGCACCCGATTCAGGAATTGGTTATGCGAGCAGAGAACCGACACCAAGGCAGACTGAGAAATTGCCTAGTAGCCCCTTCTCCAGACCACCGATGGAAGGAAATTTCCCCATGTCCAAGGGATTGCCACGAGGCCGACGACCAGGACCACCACCACCACGACCGTCATCTTCCGATGATGATAATGCATTACCATTTCCAATGTGGTCGGATTTTGACATGTCGGAGCCTCGTCGATCTGCCATGCCCGCGCCTCTGACACCCAGTCGTCCAAGCCCCAGACAGGGTCCCGGACCCGGCCCATCTACCTCAACATCTGCCGCATCTCCCCGCATTCCTAGTCCAACATTTCCATCGTTGGCCAAATCTATTTCCAACTCTAGCGACTCATTCGGCAAATCAATGGACATGGACAACAACGAACCCCTCGGCTTAAACACTCTGGGCGGATTCCCATCTCTTGATGGACGGCCAAGTACAAGCGGAGGAATAAGCTCCATACGAGTTGAGGCGAAAAAGGCACCACCACGACCAGCGCCGGTTACTCTACCTCCTTCGCCGAACAAGAGTATCCACGCAGGTTTAAGGTCGCCGGTTTTGACAGAGTTCCCTGGAACTTTTATCTGAGGGAGGATGCGAAATGATATGACTTATGGGATTACTTCTGGGCGGGATACTGGATTACTTTCGTTGACGAGATACAAGACAAGTGGTGAAGGTATCTTTATGATTTCTCAGTATATATTACCTTTAGATATCGACTTTCTACACATGCTCGGATCACCCCCTTGTTGAACTGTTTATGGGTCGCGGATATGCGAATTGGGTGTGACGCATGTCTTGGCCCAAAATCCTCGTCAAGTGGCACACATGCATGTAGAGGCCGGCTCCGGCCGCAATGTCTCAACGACCAACAGCGATCACAAAGCTATTGAGGGTGTACATTAAAACAGCGAGCACATTCACTGGCTAGAATCATCTACTTTCTTCAAGGTCTTGATCAAGTTTACCCGACTACAATGACGATTTGTTGTGGTGGCGTATGCTAAGTACTTAAGGACGCATATGGGCGGCACGTGAAATGGTGTGCTAACTGACTAAGCACCAACCACCACCGACATCGCCCTCATTAACAATCAAGTTTATGAGATGCAAATCTCACTTACATCCTGCCGACTCATTCCAAGTGGCCCGTTGCTCAATTCCGTTGACCACTACTTGTCTCTCGGTCAAAGTAATCAGAGCCGCTGTGCCATTGCGACAATGGCATCCCGGTCCGCGGTAAACAGCACCCGGCACATCTACAAAGCCCTCACAAGGCCGACATCCGCGCGGCTCATCGGCCTTGCCAGAATCCAAAATGCAGCACTGTCGTCCTCTCCGCGGGCCAACTCGGGCGCGGCCTCAAACCCGGCCATGGCATTCCCCTGCCTAGACGCCCTGGAAACCAAGTCTGCCACCTTGCAAGCGAGCCGGTCCTCGTCCGGCCCCGAGCCCAGCTACACGTCTGGACCGACGGAGACGTTCCATTGCAAAGATCCGCTGCTCCTCGACTGGGGCGGCATCCTGCCCGAGTTCACCATTGCGTACGAGTCGTGGGGCGCCGTCAACGCAGACAAGTCCAACGTCATCCTGCTTCACACGGGGCTGTCGGCGTCGTCGCACGCCCATTCCACCGCGGCCAACCCCCAGCCCGGCTGGTGGGAGAAGTTCATCGGGCCCGGCGCGCCGCTCGACACGGACAAGTACCACGTCATCTGCACAAACGTCATCGGCGGGTGCCACGGCTCCACGGGGCCCAGCAGCATCGACCCGGGCAACGGCGAGCGCTACGCGACGCGGTTCCCGATCCTGACCATGCAGGACATGGTGCGCGCGCAGTTCCGGCTCCTCGACCACCTGGGCGTGGACAGGCTCCACGCGAGCGTGGGCTCGTCCATGGGCGGCATGCAGTCGCTCGCGGCGGGCGTCCTGTTCCCCCAGCGCGTCGGCCGCATCGTCAGCA